GTCCTTAGGGAATTCGAGGTAAAATGATTAGTGGCGTTCTGGCAGAGAAAGGGAGACCTCTTCTCTGCAACTTCTCCCAGGAGTTAGATTCTAATTTTATAGCCCATTACTAAGCCATTTGCAATAAAGACTCTCAGGAGGCTAGTTTTCTAAGTAGGCGAAGGATATGAGTGAGTAGAAGCTAAAAATAAAGAGAACTTTGGAAAATGCAGAGGACTGAGAGATCAATGTACTGAGAACAGTGGGATTTTGGGGGTTAGCAGACAGAGGTTTGAGTATGTTCCTAATTATTTGGCCCCAATTCACGAAACCATCTTCCTCATCACCCCCATCACCAAACAACCAATGCATGTAAACACCATACCTCTGTATCTCCAATGCAAATATCAAGCCTATTACATTCTTTTTTTAAGTTAATGAATCTTTATTTATTTTTGTATTATTAGCATTATTTTTAATTGGAGGATAATTGCTTTATAATGTTGTCTTGGCTTTTGCTATATAATACGAATCAGCTGTCAGTATAGATATATAGATATAGATATATCCCCTCCATCTCGAGCCTCCCTCCCACCGCCACCCATCCCACCTCTCCAGGTTTGCGTTGCATTCTGATGTTGTTACTGCTGAGGTCTAACAGACCAGGAGCGCACTGGCAGGCAGTACCACCACTTGGTGGGATGATGACTTTGGTGTTAATCAGCTGTGGAAAAGACAGTCGTGCTCATCAAGGATGGAGGTGACTGCAAGAGTACTTAGCAAGGGACTCATCGGTGCAGGTGATTCCACCATATAACATTTCTCCTCCATTGCCAATTTTGGAGAAACTAGAATGGATTTTTCCTTTGTCTTTATTAAGGAAAGGTAAGTTTATTTATACCATAATTTTTTCATTGATTCTGCCCTGCCTTTTTACTAGCTGTTTTGATAGTAATAATGCTTGAAATCAGTGCCTTCCAGTTCTCTTCTACAGTAGAGATGATGCCTTTAAGTGATTTGAAGTATACTCCCTGTAATTTCGTGCTTTGTCCTTTTGCCTGTGAAGTAACAAAAAATAAGCAGTATTCCTCTTTCTGACTCTTTTTGACTTCATGGACTGTAGCCTGCCCGCCAGGCTCCCCTGTCCATGGGATTCTCCAGGCAAGAATACTGGAGTGGGTAGCCATTCCCTTCTCCAGGGGATCTTCCCCACCCAGGGATCAAACCCAGGTGTCCCACACTACAAGCATTCTTTACCATCTGAATCACCAGGGAAGCCCCATTCTTTTTCTATGATGGCACTTTAAGTATTTGAATGAAACTATTGTTTCCTCACCGCATAATTCCTTTTCAAGTCAATTAACCTTAATCTTAATCCTTTAGCTATCTGTCACAGAGCTAAGAATGTAAGTCTCTGATGCTCCATGACTCTCCAAAAATGATACTGCATAGAAATAATGAGAGCAAACATTTATTGAGCTCTTACTATGTGACAGATACTATCGTTAAGTACTTTGCCTGTGTTAATTCATTTAATTTTCACAACAGCCCTACAAAAAAATCTTATTACCTTCAGTTTAAACATGAGGAAACTAAGTCACCAAGAGGATAAATAACTTTCCTAAGGTCACCCAGTTCACAGGTGGCACAACTGGATTTTCAACCCAAACAATTTGGTTCCAGACAACATAGTCTTAATCCCAATGCCATTCTACTCCTCAGGGTCCCAAATCTCACTCATAACTGAGTCTGGAGTTCCCAACTCTATAATAGCGTAAGTTCAGTGGGATACTAGTGCCTGCAAAATGGTAATATGTCTTTCTTGAACAAGGTTCCATGGTCAAAAACATTTGGGAAATGCTGAGTAAGGTAACACTGAATAAGATTCCACTCTGCAGAGCTTTCCAAAGTCTTTAATATTTTCACAAGCATGAGGGGTCTCCAAAATCTAGATGCAGAATTTTTCAACCCTATTAACCTTTGGAACTCTCATCTAATAAAACACCTAGTAATATGTGGCATTTGATAGAATAGTGCTTAGGAAACACTGCCTTAAAGTGTAGTTTAGATTCATCCTTATTCTTTTTCTTTTCTTTTTTTTCTTCTGGCAGAAAATGATTTCATTTTATATGATCCAGAAGTTTAGCATCATCTACACAACATAAATGACTTCCGCATGGGGTCAGCAATAAAGAATCTGCCTGCAATTCAGGAGACGCAAGAGACACAGGTTTGATCCCTGGGTGGGGAAGATCCCCTGGAGGAGGGCATGGCAACCCACTCCAGTATTCTTGCCTGGAGAATCCCATGGACAGAGGAGTGTGGTGTGCTACAGTCCATGAGGTCACACAGAGTCGTATACAACTGAGCGACTAAGCACACATGCACACAATTTAAAGTTTTGTATCTAACAATTACTTCTCCATCTCATTGAGGGTATCATGAGAGACGTGAAGTGCACAAATACACTGTGGCCACCATAACCCCTGGTTCTACTAAGCTGTGCTTACTGCACTGTGCTTAGTCGCTCAGTCGTGTCCGGCTCTTTGCCACCCTATGCTATTCTACTTTTTTTTAAATGGTCCTGCCTTGACTCTTGGTCATTGCAATTTGCTATAAATGCTCACAATACATACTAAGCCATTTATTCTAATTTTTTTTTTTTTTACTTTTTTAGGAAAAAAAACTTAAATCAAGGCTCCTGAATATCTCTAGGCATCTAACCTTTTTTTGCTCTTCACACAGTCTCAAAGATTTCTCATGGGGCTCATAGATAACAGGAACAGACATCAAGTGAGAATCTTCTGCGGACTCAGAGCCATACCATGCATTTTATGTGGCACATAAAATCTCCCCGACCGAGGGAGGTGTGCATCATTAGTTCCAGTTTATAGATGAGTAAGCAAAGGCACACATTAAACAGTGGGTCACGGCCAATGAACTTTGGCATTCAATAATCCCACGTGCAGTCCATGTTTCTTGGGTACATTTCATCCTTGTAAATAGTTACTTGTGGCTTACTTATTAGGTTGAAAACATCCTGTTAATTTACTATTATTTAATTTATTAACCTTAAGGTCTGACTCTTGCGAGGAAAATGCTTATGAACCGTGTAATAAAGAGGCAAAAATGTGATATTCCTGTATTTTACAGATATATTCTTTCTCAGGATCAGCTTGCCATGCAGAAACCTCTCTGTCTGTCTTTTCTACACTCATTTCTTGCTCTCACTCAGGCAGATATTTTTCTTCCTCACTTTGGATAGCCAGGTTTAATTTCTTTAAAACAGACTTTATCTTTTAGGTCAACTTTAGATTTACAGAAAAAGTAAGAAGCTAGTAGAGAGAATTCCCATATATTCTGAAGCCAATTTCCCCAAATATTAGTGTCATGTATAGGTACAGAACATGTGTTATAATTAATGAACTGATGCTGATATATTATCACAAACCAAAGCCCATACTTTATTTGAATTTCTTTAGTTTGTGTCTCTTGTCCTCTTTCTGCTCTACAGTCCCACTGGGGACACTACATTATAATTAGTTGTCATATACCTTGAGGCTCCTTTGGACTGGGACAACTTCCCAGACACTTCTAGTTGTTGATGGCCTTGACAGCTTTGAAGAGTACTAGTCAAGTATTCTGTACACTGTTCCTTAACTGGAATTTGTCTGATGTTTTCCTCATGGTTAGACTGGGGTTATGGGTTTAGGGAAAGAAGATCACAGAGGTGAAGGGCCATTTCATCAAGTCACTCTGTATGGCCCACACCAAAGGAGTGGAGAGTTATGTTCTTTTCCTTCTTTGACTCCAGAGTGTCTGTTTAAATTATTTGGCTTTCTTCTGCCCAGGAGATCTGTCTCTTCACCTATTCATGTATTCAGTCACCAGGTAGAACGTAACTAAAGTTCTAGGGGGTAAAAAATTATTTGGTTCAAAAATATTTCTTCTTACAAGCCAGGGCAAAAGCATTTTTGAACGTCTATTTTCCTTTGCTCATATTTAAATATAATCTTATTCTTCATTTATGATTTGATGCTGGAGGATAATCGCTTTGCAATGTTGCGTTAGTTTCTGCTGTTCAACAAAGTGAATCAGCTGTAACTGCACACATATCCCCTTCCTCCTAAGCCTCCTTCCCACCAACCTCCCCCAGCGCATCCCACCCCTCTGGGTCAGCGTTACACAGCAGCTTCCCACGAGACGTCCGTTTCACACACGGTAGTGTACACATGTGAGCGCTACCCTCTCGATTCATCCCACTCTGAACCTGCAGACGATATAAAGACGACTCACACAAGGCTCCCTGCCAGAAGAAACACTCCTCGGGGTCAGTCAGAAATGTATACATTTCACAAGGTAAATAAGTGCTGGGAAAGTGTGAGTCTGTGGTCCAAAGTTAGTGTTAGTTAGTAGTCTAACTAGTTAGTGTTAATCTGACTAACTAACTAGTTAGTGTTAGTCTGTAGTCCAAAGTCTGTAGTCTCTCAGTGTTTGGGAACACTGAGAGAATAGTACAGTCATCCTTCTGTATCCATGGAGGACTGATTCCAGGACCCCATGGGTACCAAAACCCCTGGATGCTCAAGACCCTTATATAAAATGGCAGTGCTAGGATAATGAGTACAGTCAAGCCTCCCTACCAGTGAGCTGCACATCTGTGGATTCAATCAATCCCAGACAGAAATTTTGGTTGACTCTGAAGGAGGTATGACTTGTAAATATGAAGGCCAACTGTAATTAATTCAGGCAAAGTTTGATACAGGAAGAGGGAGACCAATATTGACTTCCTGGGTGTGCAACCATGATTCTGAATGATCCTAATTATTAAATGGAGAAACCTTAGCTCACAGACAATGAAAGACTTATCTAAGATCACACAGTTGGGTAACGTAAGAGCCTAAGCTGAAAATCAAGTCTTCCAGTTCCAGACCCTATGTTCTTTTCACTGCATCCAACGAGAAGATAACACAGAAGTCTGCTGTGCCATGACTTAAAGCTGAAATGAACAGAGCACTTACCTCAAATAAACGTAAAACCTTGGCCAGTGCACCAACTTCTTCTTTGAGTGAGAAGATCAGTGATACAGCATTTTGATCGGAGTTGCCTTCAATATAGCTTGTTTCCTATAGGAGTAAATGCATTTGAGTAAAATTTTTTTTTCACAGCTCAGCAATTCGGTCCTGTGAAACCTCCAAGGAAGAAGTGAGCATGAACTTTCTCTTCTAGTTAAGCCTTGGAATACAATGAGCTACATACATTCTATATAGAAGTACACGTGCAAGAGAAAATAAGTAAATCAAGGAAAGTAAAACACTAAATGACGCTCACAGATCATATTTCAGTTTTAGAAAACTCTAATTTTTCACTGGGGCTTCCCTGGTGGCTCAGATGGTAAACAATCTGCCCGCATGCAGGAGATCCAGGTTCAACCCCTGGGTTGAGAAGAGTCCCCTGGAGAAGGGAATGACTACCCACTCCCGTATTCTTGCCTGGAGAATTCCATGGACAGAGAAGCCTGGCCAGTTACAGTCCATGGGGTCGCAGAGTCAGACACGACTGAGTAATTAACGCACACACAATTATTCACTGATGTCACCAGTCAATCTAAAGATTGCCTTTCAGTGACACTTACCAAGCGCGAGGTACAATCAGGGCTCTGAGAGAAACAAATGAATAAGAGGATGCCCCATTCATCACCAGCTCAAATTTTTCCTTAATAGACACATATACAACAAGCAAAGTAAGTAGGAAAAGATCTTAAAGGTGGTACGATGGTTCAACAATTGTCCCAGGAAAACACTGAGAAACAGAGGGTAGAAAATGCTAAAATTAGAACACACACAGGCTTTTAGCTCCAAAGACATGGGTTGGAATCCTCTCTCTTCCATTGACCAACCAGAGCACTCTGGGACCAACAGCTTAACCTTCTTAATTTCCTCATTTGTGAAATCAAGCTAATGTATAATCATGCCAAGCCCTATCAAAACAGTATTCAGATGATGAAAGTAAGACAGAGAGAAAATATTTTAAATATAATATTAAGAAAAGCATACAAAATGATGGAAATACTAAAAATACCCACAAAAGATTTCTTGGTCTTCAGTAAAGATCTCGCAGGAGCATTAATTTGTTCCCAGATGCTGGGATCTGAGATACCAATTGTTGAAAAAGAGTCACAGAATACATAAGAGCACACAAATAACCTACTGGAAGATGGATGTCTTAAAACAGCAAAGAATGTCAAGGATCTAACTCTTTCTCCAGCCACATGACAGCAAATTAAGGTGGGACTAGGGTTGCCACTCCACAAAGGGTTGGCCGAAGTCTTAAAATTTTAAAGTTAAGGATTAAATTAGGTTTACAATAATACACAAAGTTCCATGTGTGCCTTCAAATAAACATCATATACCTAAAACTGGGAACAAAAACTCCATGCAGAACAATTACTCTCTTGTAAGCAAGTTAATGAAATTAGCGGAATTGATGTTGGCGTTATCTCAGTGAGAAGGCTGTCCTGGGCAGGCTCTCGGTGACTTGGCATCTTAAGTGCTGTGTGGCCACTGATGACCCTTAGGATGAAATTCTTTTAATTCAGAGAATTCAGATTTTCCCAGAACCTCACCTGAAACAGTGTGGGGGAAGAACCAGAATTATCAGTAAGTGTGATCAGAGGGAGCCTTGATGAATAGCAAGACTGAACTGTTATATATCTTTGTATGGACCACAGTACTATCTTTCTAAAAAAATTTTCTTTTGGATCTGCCATATATTAAAAGCCCCTATAAAGTCATGTCTGACTCTTTGTGACCCCATGGACTGTAGCACACCAGGTTCCTCTGTCCATGGGATTCTCCAGGCAAGAATCCTGGAGTGGGTTGCCATGCCCTTCTCCAGGGGATCTTCCCAACCCAGAGATTCAACCCGTGTCTCATGTCTCCTGCACTGCAGGAAGTTCTTTACCACTAGTACCACCTGGTTAGTATACTGTCCTAAGCATTATAATAAGCACTTGATTTGGATCATCTCATTTAATTTTGATAACTGTCTAGAAAGTAGGTTCTCTCCAAGTGCCGTTTTTATCGATGACAAGAGGAAGGCTTAGAGAAGTGACATAACTCGTCCAGCGCTGCAAGTTTAGCAGTGGAGCCCATGTCACTGGATGCCAGCACTCTGTTCCTGAATCACAACTTCCTATGGGCTCTACTTTCTGCCTCCAACCCTGCCAGAGACACGCAAACCAGTCTCTGATGTCGGTCTTCCTCCTAGGAGAGAACACTAAGCCCTCAGTTCTTCCCAGTTTCCTTGAAAGGACAAAAAATTTCTACTTCTAGTTCACTTGGCAACATTTTCCTTTCTGTTGGCTTCCAGGAAACAGAACATTTCAACAGATGTCACCTATGACTAGTGCGATTCAGATGTGAATGTGTGAAACTCTGTCAGCCACCACCTTCCCACTTCCACCCAGTCCAGTCTGACCTTCTCCAGAAACGGCTCTCAGGGTCAGGCCTTTCTTTGGTTCCCACGGACAACACTCCAGCGCTTAGTGACTGGCAGTGATTGGATGCCCCTAGCAGAATTTAGGGCTTCAGAGGAGCCTGGTGGGCTATAGTTCATGGGGTCGCAAGGAGTCAGACATGACTTGGCAACTGAACAACAACATAGCCAACAGTATACAATACTTCTTTTGAATTTCCAAAAATCTCCTTGGTGCCTCATCTCCTGAGATTCACCCTCAGGAAACTCCTCTCCAGAAAACTGACTTCCTCCTTGTTCTTTCAACACCTCACTACCAGAAACACACTCCATCCCACCCTCTTCCCCTTTCAAATCCATTACCCTTCCTCAAAAGCCCCACGGGTAGTATTTCTCTCAGAAAACTTCTGTACTCCTCAGCCAAGGTGAATAACCCCTCCTCAGTCTAGGTATTCCGTTTGTCTCCTGATGCCCTCATGGGACTTGAGAATAACTGAGTCACAGAGACAGGCTTGTCCAAATCTCATTTTGGGGAAACTATGGGCCAAAGAACGTGACTCACCTGAGAGCACACAGGAAGTGCATGGCAGTTAAGAGCTCAGGCTCCTGCTGTGGGGAACAGTACGGAGGTTCCGCACAAAACTAAACATAGAATCGCCATATGATCCAGCAGTCCCACTCCTAGACATATATCTGGACAAAACTATATTTCAAAAAACTACATGCACCCCAATATTCATCACAGCACTATTCACAATAGCTAAGACCTGGAAACAACCGATAGGTCCATCTGACAGATGAATGGATAAAGATGTAGTACATATATATACACCAGAATATATACATATTGCAATATATATATATTGCCGGGAGAAATATCAATAACCTCAAATATGCAGATGACACCACCCTTATTATTTTAAAACGAGGAAACAGACTCAGCAAGATTAAGTGGCTTGTCCAAGGACACTCAGCTAATGAGTGGCAGAGCCTGTAAGTGAACCCAGGTCCAATAACTGCAAAATCCTTAGTCTAAATCCCAGTGACCCAACTGGAACAATAGCTCCCTCTTCAAAGCTTGAGGGACCTGAACTGAAAGGAAGCGCATGGAATTTTGTGAAATGATGTTTCTTGGATGGATTCTGATTCCAATACTGTTCTGTGGACCAGCATGGGATCTTGGGCAAACCTTATCCAGAATGTGTTTAAACTTGCTCATAATCTGTAATTATTTGCTTCAAATAGATATGTGAGTTGACTTAAAAACACATGTACACTCAGGATGCATAAAGGTACAGAAAATTAGTTTAAAAACTAGAAAAGGTGAAAGAAAGCAGGGAGAAAAAAGTCTTTACTAGCAACCAAGAAGAAAAGAATTTTGATCACTGAGAATTGCACAACTGCCCTCATCTCACATGCTAGAAAAGTAAAACTCAAAATTCTCCAAGCAGGGCTTCAACAGTACGTGAACCATGAACTTCCAGATGTTCAAGTTGGATTTCCAAAAAGCAGGGGAACCAGAGATCAAATTGCCAACATCTGTTGGATCATCAAAAAAGCAAGAGAATTTCAGGAAAAAATCTACTGCTGCTTTATTGACTATGCCAAAGCCTTTGACTGAGTGGAGCACAACAAACTGTGGAAAATTCTTCAAGAGATGGGAATACCAGCCCACCTGACCTGCCTCCTGAGAAATCTGTTTGCAGGTCAGGAAGCAACAGTTAGAACTGGACATGGAACAACAGACTGGTTCCAAATCGGGAAAGGACTACGTCAAGGCTGTATATTGTCATCCTGCTTATTTAACTTATATGCAGAGTACATCATGAGAAACGTTAGGCTAGATGAAGCACAAGCTGGAATCAAGATTGCTGGGGGAAATAGCAATAACCTCAGATATGCAGATGACACCACCCTTATGGCAGAAAGCGAAGAAGAACTAAAGAGCCTCTTAATGAAAGTGAAAGAGGGGAGTGAAAAAGTTGGGTTAAAGCTCAACATTCAGAAAACTAAGATCATGGCATCCAGTCCCATCACTTCATGGCAAATAGATGGGGAAACAGTGGGAACAGTGGCTGACTTTATTTTTTTGGGCTCCAAATTCACTACAGATGGTGATTGCAGCCATGAAATTAAAAGACACTTGCTCCTTGGAAGAAAAGCTATGACCAACCTAGACAGCATATTAAAAAGCAGAGACATTACTTTGTCAACAAAGGTCCATCTAGTCAAAGCTATGATTTTTCCAGTAGTCATGTATGGATATGAGAGTTGAACTATAAAGAAAGCTGAGTGCTGAAGAATTGGTGCTTTTGCACTGTGGTGTTGGAGAAGACTCTTAAGAGTCCATTGGACTACAAGGAGATCCAACCAGTCCATCCTAAAGGAAATCAGTCCTGAATAGTCATTGGAAGGACTGATGCTGAAGCTGAAACTTCAATCCTTTGGCCACCTGATGTGAAAAACTGACCCTGATACTGAGAAAGACTGAAGGCAGGAGGAGAAGGGGACAACAGAGGATGAGATGGTTGGATAGCATCACCAACTTGATGGACATGAATTTGAGTAGGCTCTGGGAGTTGGTGATGGGCAGGGAAGCCTGGCATGCTACAGTCCATGGTAGCACGTGTCAAAGAGTTGGACAAGACTGAGTGACTGAACTGAACTGAGAAATACACTTAACAACAGAAATAAATTCCCTTTGCTTTAGTCTAACAAATACATTCTATTGTTAATATATTTGGGAAAAGAGCAGTTTTCATAACTACAAGCAATTAATCTACAGTAAAGATATTCCAGGGGCACTCACTGCCGACCTTACTGCTTTTGGGGGTCATGGGCAGAGGTCTGTTTTCACATGTGTGATTATACTAACACACATCTACAGTGTAAGACACCCAGAAACAAGAGCAGACATCCTGCTGTGGACACACCAAGCCTGTATACTGCAGAATTTATCTACAGGAGGAAGCAGTGTGGTTGCAGGAGTGCACAGGGTGTTGGAGTCAGACCTGGGTCTAAACACTGACTCTGTGCCATTTACAGCTATGATTTGATTCCTTCATCTTTTAATCCATTGCCCCATTCTATTTTTCTTTACAGCACTTATCCTCCACATGAAATTATATGTTCATTTGGTTAAATGTTATAGTCTTGTCTCCTCCACAAGAATTTAAGTTTCACCAGGGCAGACTTTATACCAGCTAGCTGTGCCTAGCTCAGAGTAGGTGCTCAATAAGTCTTTGTTGAGTTGAGTGAACGAATGAGCCAGATGTCTCTTGCAGGATTGTTGTGCTTGCATGTGTAGCTCAGCCTTCTATCTGGACTACACCTAGGGCATTCTGTTTACCTGGGTTAGAGCTTCAAGAAGGTAATAAATGTGTCTTTTTGTAGACTGTCAGAGCTGGAGTCCTAGAGACTCAAAGGTGTTAGTAGCTCAGTCCTGTTCAACTCTTTGTGACCCCATGGACTGTAACCCACCAGGCTCCTCTGCCCACAGAATTCTCCAGGCAAGAATACTGGAATGGGTAGCCATTCCCTTCTCCAGGGGATCTTCCTGACCCTGGGATCAAACCTGGGTCTCCCACATGGCAGGCAGATTCTTCACCATCTGAGTCACCAGGGAAGCCCTCCTAGAGACTATTCTTTATCCACCTCCCCCACCCCCTCATTTTACAGATCCCAAACTGAGCCTCTTCACCCAGTTAGGGGACTTCTTGGTGATACATAGCACCAGCAAACCAAACCCAGAGTCCACATCACCTGATCCCGGGTCCATCACCTTTCCACTGAGAAGCTCCACCAGCCACTGGGCTTGACTCACTGTATGTTCCTGCTGCCAGGATTCTGACACATTTTGTCGAACAAACAAATCGTTTCTGGCAAGACACCCCTGGCACTTCTCCTATACTCCAGAATGCATGCTACGAGGTTTAAAGATATTATTTCACTTGATTCTCATACTAACTCTAGGATAAGGGTATTTTTATTCCAACCTTTCAAATGAATAGACCTGAGGCTCTGCAAAGTTAAATAGCTTGCTTTCAACACACAGAGGTGTTACAGGGCACTCTCTAAAGCCTCCTCTTTACATGCCCCCCCCCCCCGGCCATCATCGATAGTGACCATTTGTGGTTCTTAGGCTTCTAAGTACTCTGTAAACGAAGTTTTCAGATCCCATGGCTCCCTAACCAGATTGCTGCCTCTAACCTCCCACCATGCTTGAGGGGATCCCACGGCCAGCAGCACAGAAGCTAAATAATGGCACAGCTGGGGTCAGTTCTGGGATCTGAAACCCATGGCGTCCCTCTTCAACATGAAGTTCTATCTCCCAAGTCCTACATACCATTTCCAAAGGAAGTCTTTCTCTTGGGATTAAAAAAAAAAAGTCTACTTTTCTGCACTCTCTAGTTATACTAAAACATCAATCACCCTCTGTCCTCCAGCCCCCCTCGTCTTTAAATCATTCTTAATAATCCTACAGATGACAAATCTCCATAGACCCACCTTATCTCCCAGGGCTGGGCTTTAAGTCTGAACCCTAAATTCTGGGAATGTGGCCAGTCAATTAAAGAACTCTGCAGTTGTTCACCTCAAGGGACAGGCAACACTTTCTAGAGAAAAGAACGCACCCTGGTCATTATTCCTGCCACATTTAAGGTTCTCTTACATTCCAAGTTCAAGGCTAACTCTTGAGTATTTTCCTCTGTGTTTAATTTTCTCCTTCCCCAGGTGGGAGTAAGTCTGGGACCTCTTCATGACCCATTTTCTCCCAAAGGTGAAAAAAAGGATACAATTTCTTACAATTTTGCCATTTTGATTCCTGGCTGAGAACACTTGTAAAACATCACGGAAAGGCAAATCCGGATGGACCCCAACTCCCATTCCAGATTGTTAAGGACCAATGCACAGAAGAAAAAGAAGGCGACAGAGACTTGTGTAAAGACACACAGCGAATCCACCCGTGGCAGCTCTGAAAGCCGACCCCCAACTCCTGGAGCTCATTCCCTAAAAGTCACCCAAGAGAGATGTCCTCTTCTTGGGAAACGTGGTGAGCACATGTGTTATCTGTCAACTTCCTAAACGTTTCCATCTTCCTCAAATGAACTCTCAATGTCCTGGTGAGCTGATGGGAGTTTGGAAACACCAACACTGCTCAGACCTCTTTCCACGGCGGGAGGTGGGGGCAAACGCCCCTCCCTGCGCAGCTAAGGCCCCCCAGGCTCACCTGTCCAAAGTCGCTGAGTTTCCTGCCCAAGGCTCCGGTCTCCAGGACGAGAGCTGACATGCTGGCTCGGTAGCGCGGACCTTCTCTACAGTTACGGCCGTCAGCCGCAGGGAGATTTGCAAACAGCAGGTAGTGCTGAGGTTTTAAACCTGGCTTTAGGGAGGAGCGCCTCCGAAGTCTCCTGCCGCGCGCCCGCCGCAGGAACGCCCCCCGGCGGGCGTTGTCCTGAAGCTGCTGGGCTCTGGGTTGGGACCTGGACATCCCAGACGGGAGGGGCGGGCGGAGCGGCCGGGGAGGGTGTGGCGGCTGCCCAGAGGCCGAGCCTGGCTGCCCTCCTGGCATGTTGGAAGGCCAGCGAGGGAGGGCAGAACCACCTGTGCCCTGGCGATTAGACAGGTTGGGCATTTCCAGGACTTTCCAAAGCCCGGGCACAGATTCTCTGCCACTGGAGTAAATCTGTGGCTGCCTGATGAAAACAATTATAAGAAGCAGAGTCATATGGCAGTTCTATTTCCAGCTTTTTAAGAAATCTCCACACTGTTCTCCATAGTGGCTGTACTAGTTGGCATTCCCACCAACAGTGTAAGAGGGTTCCCTTTTCTCCACACCCTCTCCAGCATTTATTGCTTGTAGACTTTTGGATAGCAGCCATCCTGACTGGTGTGTAATGGTACCTCATTGTGGTTTTGATTTGCATTTCTCTGATAATGAGTGATGTTGAGCATCTTTTCATGTGTTTGTTAGCCATCTGTATGTCTTCCTTGGAGAAATGTCTGTTCAGTTCTTTGGCCCATTTTTTGATTGGGTCATTTATTTTTCTGGAATTGAGCTGGAGGAGCTGCCATATGACCCAGCAATCCCACTTCTGGGCATACACACCGAGGAAACCAGATCTGAAAGAGACACGTGCACCCCAATGTTCATCACAGCACTGTTTATAATAGCCAGGACATGGAAGCAACCTAGATGCCCATCAGCCGACGAATGGATGAGGAAGCTGTGGTACATATGCACCATGGAATATTACTCAGCCATTAAAAAGAATTCATTTGAATCAGTTCTAATGAGATGGATGAAATTGGAGCCCATTATACAGAGTGAAGTAAGCCAGAAAGATGAAGACCAATACAGTATACTAACACATATATATGGAATTTAGAAAGATGGTAACGATAACCCTATATGCAAAACAGAAAAAGAGACTCCGATGTATAGAACAGACTTGTGGACTCTGGGAGAAGGCGAGGGTGGGATGTTTCAAGAGAACAGCATCGAAACACGTATATTATCTAGGGTGAAACAGATCACCAGCCCAGGTTGGATGCATGAGACAAGTGCTCGGGCCTGGTGCACTGGGAAGACCCAGAGGGATCGGGTGGAGAGGGAGGTGGGAGGGGGGACCGGGATGGGGAATACATGTAAATCCATGGCTAATTCATTTCAATGTATGACAAAAACCACTGCAATGATGTAAAGTAATTAGCCTCCAACTAATAAAAATAAATGAAAAAAAAATAAAAAATTAAAAAAAAAAAAAAGAAGCAGAGTCAAGATCTTAGAGCAACCCACTCCAGTACTCTTGCCTAGAAAACCCCATGGACGGAGGAGCTTGGTGCAGGCTACTGTCCATGAGGTTGCAAAGAGTTGGGCACGACTGAGCGACTTCACTTTTCTTTCTAGTAACCACCAAAGAAACGACCTTTTGGGGTCTGACTTCAGAAAACTGAATAGGTGACGCTGTGAATACTGGGCACTGTTGCTAAGGAGCAGAGGTGGGAGCACGACCTGGGCTGAAATGCAGCCCGCGTGTCACTGAGCTGATTACATCGCCGCTGGGAGCACGCAGAAGGGGGTGGTGGCAGCACCTTACCAGGACGTTGTGGTAAGGCTGTGGGTAAGAGAAAGCATGAGGTTTTGCCCTCTGAGCCACCCTCCCTCCCTCCCAGGTGGCGCTAGCGGTAAAGAACCCGCCTCCCAATGCAGGAGGCTTAAGAGACCGGTTCGATCCCTGGGTTAGGAAGATCCCCTGGAGGAGGGCATGGCAACCCACTTCACTATTCTTGTATCCTCTGTCCGTGGGATAGGAGAATTCCTGGAGAATCAATCCCATGGACAGAGGAGGCTGGCAAGCTAGGATCCACGAGGTTGCAGAATCCGAAAGGACTGAAGCGAGGTAACAGAGTTCTTGTATAGGTCAGCACCCAGTAACGGGAGATACTGCTTAAAAGTGCACCATAGAAGTGCTTCCTACGGGCCTTTCTTGTGTGCTAGGTGAAGGGGATGCAGGGGGGACCCTGCCTTCATTCTGGAAGACAGACAGCACACATGTAAGTTTAAGCAGAGTTAAGCCTTCTGAAGAAAATAAAATAGGGGGACGGGCTAATCTGCAGGAAGATGTCATTCACCTCCACTTTTTCAGTTCTGACACTGAGATGAGACACTCATTCCCAGCAGGCAAAACTAATTTACAGGAACACTGCAAAGACAGAAGTTCAGAAAAGATGTGAAGCAAATCAAGATCGTCAAGGCCTTGAGTCTCTGCCTAATATTTAGCCAGGAGAGTGTAATGGGCTAAGAGAAAACAAACCAAGAAGCCAATAATAGAGGCTGCTAGAAATCCACCCATTCCCCTCCCACGATTCTTTGACGGAGCGACCAGGCACATGCCAAAAGATTTAAAAAATAAACAAATAAATCGCAGATTTGGGATTCAAAACAAGCAGATTGACTCCTGATGCCACCACTAACTTTGGTCAAGTCCTTGCCTCAGTTTGTCTTTAAAATGGGGTTTTAACAGGGAGTCTGGCTCAGTGCTCTGTGATGACCTAGAGGGTGATATGAAGGTGGGGTGGGAGGGAGGCTCAAGAGGCAAGGGGTATATATGTGCTTATGACTGACTCGTGATGTTGTACTGCACAGACCCACACAACTTTGTGATGCAATTATCCTCCAATTAAGAATAAATAAATAATAAAGCTAAGAGAAAAAAAATAAAATAAAATGGGGTTTTAAGGGTTGTTTAGGATTCTTGGAGCCTCTATTGCATGCCTGGCTTTCTACTGGTTGCTATGAATACAGACATAATTTCTGTTCAAAAGGAGTCTTTGGGTGTGTGGTTAAGATTCCCTGTGGTCCGATGGAGGATCAATGTTGTTGAACATAGAAGAGCAAGACCTTGACTTCCACCCTCAGGAGAATCCATATCCTTGATCAGACTCCAGTGTTCTTCTAGTGTGATAGACGTGAGGTTCAGCCCCTAGGTCTAGAAGATCCGTTGGAGGAGGAAATGGCAACCCACTCCAGTATACTTGCCTGGAAAGTTCTATGGACAGAGAAGCCTGGTGGGCTACAGTCCATGGGGCCTCAAAGAGTTGGATATGACTGAGTGACTAAGCTCGCACATACACACAGACATGAGGTGAAGAGTTTTCCTCCACCCCAAGATTGCCTTACAAACATCACTTCATCCCTTGATGTTGCTGCCATACTAAGGAGAGCAAGGAATGTGACAACCCTGTTATGTTGCTATTTAAGAGGCATGCAATGAATAAAAGCAAGCAATAACAGTTTCTTACTTAAATAAATGTATACTGTATGGTGGACACTGCCAAGCATTCCTCATGCATGGTTTCATTTTTCCCCTCTAAAACCTTGAACTATGAATCCCCACTTTATAAATAAACTGAGACACGGAAAGTTTAAATAAGTAGTTCAAAGTCAAACGACATTTCACCCAGTTCCAAGGCACTGGCTCTTACACACTCTTCCTTCCCTTTTAAAAATAAGGACAGTATGATTTTTAGGACAACAAAATAATAGCACTTCTTTTTTCTTTTCTCATCTACTAAAAATAAAATTCTTAATTTCCTCTCACATAAAAATGACCCAGATCTGTGTTGGGAGGAGAGCACAAGTAGTTGCCTGCTGCTTTAGGGAAAAACATTTAGTAGCTTCTTTTCAAAATTGTTTTGGCTAAAAGGGGAAATTTATCCATGCAATAATATTAAAACTCACTTATCATGAGATTGCTGCTGACATGAATTTTGTACTGATTTAAAAAAAAACTATCATTTTAATTGGGATGGAATGCAATGTGTTGTTGTTGTGAACTGAGCCCTAAGAAAATTGGTGTAAAAGGAACACCCAAGAATTCAGCCTGTGTGGAGAGGATATGGAGAAAAAGGAACCCTCTTACACTGTTGGTGGGAATGCAAACTAGTACAGTCACTATGGAAAATAGTGTGGAAATTCCTTAAAAAACTAGACATAGAACTGCCAAACAACCCACCAATCCCACTGCTGGGCATACACACCGAGGAAACCAGAACTGAAAGAGTCATGTGTACCCCAATGTTCATCGCAGCAATGTTTACAATAGCCAGGACATGGAAGTAACCTAGATGTCCAATGTCAGATGAATGGATAAGAAAGCTGTGGTACATATACACAATGGAATATTACTCAGCTATTGAAAAGAATGCATTTGAATCAGTTCTAATGAGGTGGATGAAACTGAAGCATATTATACAGAGTGAACTAAGTCAGAAAGGAAAACACCAATACAGTATATTAACACATATATATAGAATTTAGAAAGGTGGTAACAATGACCCTATATGCAAGACAGCAAAAGAGACACAGATATAAAGAACAGACTTTTGGACTCTGTGGGAGAAGGCGAGGGTGGGATGATTTGAGAGAATAGCATTGAAACATGTATATTACCATATGTGAAATAGATCGCCAGTCCAGGTTTGATGCATGAGACAAGTGCTCAGGGCTGGTGCACTGGGATGACCCAGAGGGATGGGATGGTGAGGGAGGTGGGAGGGGTGATTGGGATGGGGGACACATGTAAATCCATGGCTGATTCATGTCAATGTCTGGCAAAAACCACTACAATATTGTAAAGTAATTAGCTTCCAACTAATAAAAATAAAGGGAAAAAAGAGAGAGAGAATAGCATCGAAACATGTATATTACATATGTGAAATAGATGACCAGTCCAAGTTTGATGCATGAAACGGCACTCAAAGCCAGTGCACTGGGACAACCCTGAG